GTGCACTTTTTATGGGTATTTTTACATTTATATTTTTTTGTTACATATACTGTAATCTTGTTAGAAAACTTTTTATTTATTGTTCACGTGGTTATTCTTATTTTGCATCTATCGTTTTCCCAATAAATCGAAAACGCTTGTCCCATTGTCATGTTGCTTGATAATAATTAAATATGGTTAATTTTCTTTGTTGAATTTGTCTTTAATCTTTAATTATATAACATTCGTAAAGTATAATTTTTTATTTTTAACATTTTACATTTATAAGGATGGTGGTAGATGTCAAAAAAATAACAGAATAGTGTGAAAATTCTGTATTTTCCTCTTGACTTCTCACTATAGTGTACAATTTAATTATTATATGCAATTCATCATTAACCGTCATATTTTATATATTATAGGTACCAAAAATATTTGAATACATAATATAGATAAATGCAATTAATAATAATAAACCCTTTTAAAATAACCATTTCGATAAACTCACATCGCAAATAGTTATTATAATAATTGTTTTATTTAACACCACAAGAGTCATATATGCTTAGAGTGTATTTAAATTTAATCTATCTAATGGAATAATAAAAAAGTAGTAGAACATTAATTATTAGTTAAGATTTTTTTTTCGCAAAAACGGAAATTAAAAACTTGACTAAATTATGAATGCGCGCGTGTTATACTTTTTTGGCAGTGCGATTGTGTCATTTGTCACTAGGTCAAGGGGAGTTTTTTTTTTCGTATTTATACATGTATTAAATAATTTAATTACTAGTGAAATAGATTGGCCTCATTATGCTGGACGAAATAGTAATAACTAACAGTAGGTATTAGATATACACTAATTTCAAATTGTAATTCCGTGTAACTAATTAATTGACGTTTAACTTTTGTTTCAAAAATTTAAAACATTTTTATTGTACAATATTTTCCAGTTTTAAATTAATTTATCATAAAACCACAATCAAGCATTTATATTTAAATAAATGTAAGACTTCACATATTGTGTTATACTTAATAATTAATTAAATATTAAATTGTACAATATGTTCAATGGTTACAGTAGAATTTATTAATAACATTAATACCTCTACAATACTCTTACAGATTTGTTTTTTTTTTTTTTTAATAATTACAACGACTCAATGCAATGATAGGTTATGCTCATAATTTATACCGACAATTTGAACCAAATAATTCAAAATATTAATTGTTTAAACACTTTATATAACATTTTTGAGATTTATTCAATAATCCATCCACTATAACGTAGTTAATCCTTTTAATCCATACTGTTTAATGACAAAAAATAGTTTATTATTATTAAAATGCAATTACAAATATTTAGTCTTAATTCACAAAGCATAAAATATATCAATTTTTTATCCTTGTTTAAAAATTTCAAATGATATATTTTTTGATATTAATTGTCTTACTTCTTTTTAAATTTTAAATATATTATAAGAAATATTGTAGTGTACAACATTTGGTGAGAGCTTGAAGCTCCGATTTCGGAATTTCATCAGTTTTGCAAAGTTTGAGTCTCCAATTTCTACAAGTTTAATATAAAAGTATAGCCAATGTTTTAATTTTTAAATGAAGTTTCTTATTCCACTGTTAGAACTGAATTGTTTGAAAATAAACATTCAAACCCTAAAAAGGAAATCTAATTTTAAGTATATTGATAATATTTGTTGATAGTTAAAGTATAGTTTTGGATCTTGTGCCATCTTCGTTTGTTTGTGTTCTCTGAATTCTTTATTCTTTACTTTTGTTTTTTTCTTATTAAAATAGATTAATTGTATTTTTATTTTAAACTTTCACTTATTCATAGCTCAGCCGTGCAATGCCAAAACACAGTAACCGACATTTTTATCAAAAATAACTTTAATTATATAATAATTTTAGAATTTGTTTTTGAAATATTTTGTAAAAATGCATGTTGGATTTTCCCATTCAATTTTATTTGAAATCACACAATTATTTCAAGAGTTATCACACTTCGAGCACACAACAACTACAAAGTGTTAAGCTTAAATTATAATACAAAAACAATTATCCTTCAAAATGAAAAATAGATCTTTATGAAATGGGTACTGCTAAGGTAAATTTGTATATAAATTACAAAAAGGGCTCAGGGTAGTGGAAACCCCCTAGACCATCACCCCCCCTTTTCTATATCTACACAACTGGTTTCTCGTATATGCGCTCTTACTGCCTCGAACCCGACTTGTAATATACCTATTGAATATGAATAAGACATTGAGCATAAAACGTCATAAATACATAAACAAATCACTACTAATTCAAATTTTTTTATATTCAATAAATAATTATTTTAGCAAACAACACCATAACAATAAAAATAATAGTACGTATTTGTAAAATACGTTGAAGCATGACTATGTAGGTAATATTATTTAAAAGGCTATAAATATATTTTTTTTAGCTTAGACAGTCACGTAATTATTAACAGTGGCTCGTTTTAGTCACTAAAAGCATATACTGTACTTTAATATATTACAAACGTCTACGAATTCGCCGTGACGTATTGTTTCCAATTAAATGTTTTAAATGTATTAAGGGAATGCATGCGTTTAATGTCTATATTATGTGAAGTTTCGATTAAATCGTTAATTAACTCGGTCTTGCAGTCGCTCCGAGTTTTAAATAATAAAATTACGCCTACCGACGGCTGTAATTAATCATTCAACGTAACAATATATACTTATTGTTTTAATATGCAGTCTGGAGATATGAATGCGTATAGGGTTTGACGTAACTATTCCATTCGTTGTCGGTTTTTAAAACGAAATACCACGCAGAGTCCAGATAATCAGAGTAAATTAAAAATCAACTATATATGTGTGTCTGCAGTTATATAATAATAATAATATATTATGGTACTTGGTGTTTGGCACCAAAAACAACGGAGGACGAAATTCGATTTTCGAAACTGTTGTCGCGTATAATAATTGTTCCAAATCGACCGTGTTGATGAAACTTTTCTTTATTTCCTATATAATACACACGAAAGCACAGTAAAAACATATAAATATAGGTATAATACGTCGTTGGTTGAACGATTCGATTGTTTCTTCTGTGCGACTCGCACACAATGGTCTAAAAATTATTATCGGCTTGGCGAGGAGTTCCGTGCGTCGTTTATAAATGGCCAAATCTAGAGTTTCATACCTACAAAATATCTGTGCGAAATGTTAAAATACAAAATTCCGATAAATTACGGAAGGACAAACACATGATAAACATACATCACAGCCGACACAAACCTCGGTGTCTGCAAAGGTCGGTGGATACAGGCTCAACAACCTGGCGTTTAAAACGTTACAACGCCAATTTTTGTCGATAGAGTTATGACCTTCCTATAATATTATAGTTTGATAATAAATTGACTTTGTGCCAACATATAAAATACCCAACAACGTTCGTGATAAATTTTCATTTAGTGAAAATATCGAAATGAAATACAAATCGAACAAAGCACCGAAAGACATCGATTGGGACACCTATTTTACACTTTTCCCACCATGTTTTTGATGTGATAATTATTTTCGTTTATCATGTACACTGTCTATATTATGGCACAAAGGAAAACGTATAATAGTACAAAGCTCGTTGGCCATTAGGTCCTACTGTAAAAACAACATACGACCAACGAGTGTAATGCCGGCACAGTGTAATTTAATTTTTATTTCATTAGTTCATTAGTTCATTAGATAACTGCACGATATTATAATATGGTACAAGAATATTCGTGTATGGCCTATGGACAATCATAAAAATAAGTATCAATGAGAAATATTTGTAGGGCGACTAAATGACGGTCGAGTAAGCGACAAGACGAATTAATAGTGTGGAATAAAATAAATCGGAGCAGAAAAGGTTCCCATCACTATCTATCGAAGTAAAGTTTTAGAAACGAACCAACATTTGTACTATCGTCCCCTCGAAATCTATATCCAAATCCACAGCAAACGCTTTTATTAAAAGTTACTCGAATAAAAAAAATCAATGTAGGTACAAACAAAGAGAAGTTATTATTTACCGACCTAATATTTTCGACCCAACGCTTTTCCGAATATGCGTGGTATGTTAAAATAATTTTTTCCTCGAACATCGCCTATATTGGACTTACAAAATTATTATTGTTATTACTCAACTTATAAGACGATGCAGACGTACCTTAAAACCATGTGAATTGGATTATTGTGATATAAATACCTAATTTATATAAGAAATACTGAAGATGAAAATTTTATACATTTTACAAGGTTTTTGATTGAGATGAAATGTCAATTGCCGATTAATACCTTGAACATTGAAAACCAAGCGAAATATGTTTTTTGACTCCAGTATAATAAATAATAGTTGTAACAATTGAATTTTTTAAGTATGGGTATATAAGTATAGTTTTTTAAACCACGATAAATTAATAACGAAACACCCTTTAGAGAAATCATTATTTTACTTTTAAATATCGAATTTCGTCATAATTTCAACTCTAAACGCTCATTAGAAATGCATGTGGTTTTAAGTTAAACTTTTTTTTTTAATTACAGTAAGAAAAACTTACGAACTCTATACTTATTACAAAGCCTTAGGTATTAAAATTAAAAAAAGAATTTAGTTTTTCCCGATTATTTTTAAATGAAGCCAGTACTGGTAAATTTATCGCTTTTGAACTACTAAAATTATATTTTTATAAATATTAAAAATATGAATTCTGAAGTGCCGTAAATTAATATTTGTCTTGTCATATTATTCATGTAAAATGTACATAATAAAATATATATTGTCATCGACGTTTATTTGCTTTTTTTTAAAAAGGTTGCCTTATCTTATTTTAGATTAGTGAAAAAAAAAAAAAATAATAATATCATAACATGTGGTACTATTGAAAGCGTTTTGCTAATTACTTGTGTGATAACTGATAATGTTAATTTTGTCGGTTGATATGATTGTTTTACTCGATCTGTTTACAGGTGGTGCACTCCGTTGGTCAGCATCAGCCTGTGCCTTATGTTGGCGGGATGTGTTTTTTCTTTCAGCGGTCATTTCTACAAGGACCAGAAGACACTGATCGCATCGTCTTTGCACACGTTAGCCGGTAAGTAAAAATAAACTAAAATATATTTCACAGTGACTACTAATTGCACATAGTCGTATGGTTGTAGTTTATTGTGCACTATGTATTGTGTGTGCGGCGCGATGTTACAATGCTGCTCGGAAATAACAATGGATTATTCTACTCTAAGTATTAAGCTCGGTGGAATTTTACGAGAAGCGCAGAATATAGATTATAATACTATTGTTATTTTCAATTGCAGACAACTTGACAATAGTCCACCGCTTAACGATTTAAGTGATTAGAGAAAAATAGAATATATAGTTATACGGTATACTATCTACCTACAGTTATATTAGATAGACAACAAAAAAAAGGCCATAAATATACTACGATAACGTGGTAAGAAATACAAATATTATAGTATTATACTGTTGTTGTAATATTAGTGTGGATTTATTTTCAAATATATTCCCATCGTATTCAATCTGAGAACATTGAATTTCCTCAAGTCTATACCTACGTGTTTTAAATATAAAAAGATCTAATATTATGACGATGCACGGTCGCATAAAATCATATTATTGTTCTACACAAAATGTCTAGACATGTAAATAATATATTAAACTCGTTATGTAAAGTTGTTTACATTTATGAAATATAATGAGCGACATTCGACTCTGCTGTATATCAAGAAATTTTCAACGTTAAGTACAATTTATTTAAGAAAGTGATTTTAATTTTTTTTTTTTCAGTATAATCGTTTACATTGAAATAAAATATTATATTTGATACTTAAGTACTTCGCATCGCATCCAGACGATGCCTGTGAAAGGTGTATAATGTTGTTTTGCCATTTTGCACACTGTAAATTTAAATCATTTAAAGTGTCCGTCCATTATTTCTATGAAGTTCGTCTGACTTTTCAATGATTTAAGACATACTTCAATTATTTTATTTTGAGAATTGTGGATACTTAATCTGTATTTGTTTTCATAAATATAAAATGTATGTAACAAATCTTTTTTACAAGATAAAGAATATTAAACTGTAAATATATAGCCGATTGACTTAAATAAGTTAAGAATGGTTTTTGATATAACTTTTGCTGTCTGCACACACCTATTGAGTATTATTGGTTCGTAAAAATGTTGCATTGTGATGACCCGGGTTGTAAATTCGGACATTCGAATAATTTAATAAAATCATAATATTTTACTAAGTATAAAGTACCGTGATCGTCTCATAGTCACTAAACATCAGTTACAGGCTACAAAATAGTGATTTATATAATTCTCTATGAAATTTTAGACATTTATTTATTATAAAATATACGTTTTTCACATTTTTCGAGTGTTAAAAATAAAATGAAATAGTACTTAATAAACCTTTCTAGCAATTTAAAAAAGTTAATTTTGTAGATAAAAATAAATTGAAATGAAAACAAATACTGCCATTATAATAATTATTTATTCGAACAGCCTTGCGTATGTTATACTCACAAGGTGGGCAGTTAAATTTTGCAAATCAACTGTGTGTGTGAGTAAAAAATGTGTATTCATATAATTAACTTTTATAAATAATTCTGTGTTAATCTTATAATTGTGTGCTATGTCTCGAGTAAAAGATATTTTAAGTTAAGTTCTAATAACCCTGTTTAAATGTATTATTGCACAAATTATGCGTGATAAAACAACAATACACAATAACACTATACAATTTAATAGTAATTAGTATGTGTAATGCATTAAGCTGTACATTACTAAGACAATTAACGCTAATACTTTGTCAGTCATGTCTGTTTCAGTTTAAAATTTAAAATATACAAAGGTTTTATAATAGTAATAATAGTAATATAGGTATTCCTTTATAGATCGAGGGCGGACCACACAGAGAGTTATGTATACATATATTTTGGGCCCTATTTCCGTGGCCCACCCTGAATATACTCAATGACCGTATATAATAATACACAATATTATTTATTGTGAATTTATTCCACCACCGATATTATTACAGAACTGTGATTTGTAAAATAGTATATAGTTGAACATAATATATGATTCATGATCGATATTATATTGAACAATATCATCAGTTACTGATGATCAGTATACATTTCGTCAATTTATATTCCAAATCAAAAATAACCTTACAGCCTTTTTTTTTCTTCGAGGTAATCAACATTGTATTTGATCTGTAGAAATGTTGGTTTGTTTCGACATTTGGAAAAATGAACAACAAATTACGTAAACTGTCAAAATAGAAAATTTATTTTCCATTATTTTGAATTTATAATCATAATATAATAACACATAATAATATGATATTTGTTGTAAATGTAAGGTTTTTAATATATTATGATTTATAATCAATTTCAATAAATAATTTTTACAAAACGACTTACAAAGTATCACATTTTTATGTTAAATTGTAAATGTTAATGTTCGTTTATAAAAGTTCCATAAATAGTTTAAATTTAAAATAGTATGCAAATTGAATTCTTGAATAATAATGAAAATTCCAATTTAATTATAACTGAAAAATATTATATGCCTCGGAGCTTGCAGTAAAAATTCAAAATATATCAAGTTAATATATTAATCTAGTTCCAGCGCTGTGATGGAATCAACATTTGATTTTTTTTTCATATTATTATATTGTTATTTTACGTCTACATTATTGTAAGCATAATAGCCACTCATCGTCTAACATGGCGTACCTAACTCTCGGTGCAAAGCCATCACTATGTTGTCGGCAAGATGCCTCAATTTGTGAAAGGTTATAACCTATAGTATGGTATAGTTCTTCTTTCGATTCGCGATCGTTTGCCCGTATTAAAATCAAATTAAAAATGTATGTAGTATTGCATGAGCCCGTATGGTTTTGTTCGGTCGGTTAGGACTTACCTTAGTCGTATAAAGTGCATATATATATGTGCATACCATAAAACGTATCAGTCTATTGCTGGATTGGATTTCGGGTAGTTTGAGCGGAAAATAAAAGTAGACCGTCCGAAATGACAAATGCAACAGTGTCGATAAATTACGTTTGCCTATCCGTGGCCGAGAGGAAATGGATCAATCGTGAAGCGCGTCTATGCTCGTTGTTTGGTAAAGAATGTTAAGTTCATGACATTAGTCTTTGCGGGTAAGTGGATTAAAAAGCAACAACAAAAAAAAAAAAAGAAAAAAGCGCAGAACGATAAAATTGCAATTACCCGGACTTGTTTGCAATAACTTTCAACACTTCTTCATAAGTCGTATACACGCGGGGTACGATTTCAAACCCGGTAGATATAATGCAATATAGGTACACGGCAATTGGTTTTTCTAGCTTTACCAGTGTTTTCTTAAAAAAAAAAAATTGAAAAAAAACTCTTAATTAGCGTTTGGGTCCCCGGAGAGAGTAATAATAATTTTAAAAACAATTCGGTCATACCTTTTTATTTTTTTACCCGAGGCTCCTCACTTAGTCCACGTTTGTTTGTCGGAAAGGACTAATGACTTTGCCGGATAAACGAGAGGTAATTTTTCTCGGACAACCTACTTAATAAAAACGATGTTTAAAAACAGTTGTAGAGAGACACGGAGATAAAAAAAAAAAATAAAAACATGTAACTCAAAGATCCGAGTAGCGTATAATATACAGATAAAATGATACGAATACAATTATTCGGTTGTACTTAGTGTACTATCATTTACCTATTATAATTTTTATAATTAATGTATTACATTTTGTTGTACATCTAGAAGATAGTTTTTTCAGCGAATACTAAAATTATAAAGAAGAATAAAAAGTTAACGAAAACATCCGCCTTGCAAGACTATTTATAATAATATATTCTCCAAATAAATCAACTCACACACACACATTTAATATGTATTGTGAGTGAGTGAGTGTGTGTGTGTGTATTATATATAAGTATACATTATACATCGGTAAAGTAGAATAGGGAGATTTTCGTTGCAGTACATTAAACCCCCAAACGCAGACTAACAAAACTACAAAAGCCTTTCTAAATTGAAAAGTATTTTCTGTTGTTGAGCTTAGCGCATAACTTGTGTACGAAATTGGCAAATCTCTATACATAAAAATAAAAATGTTAATGTTCATTTTATGGCGTTCACAAAGTTAATTTTCATATCGGAAATAAAATGAATTATTCTTTTTTTTATTGAAATGTTTACAAATACCTGCTATACAATATTAAACTTAATACGAAAGCAAACATTGACATTTTTCAATGCAATTAAACTTTGTCATTAATTGTTTTTTAAATCATTATTCCAATAAAATTATTTATACTATATTGTTTTATAATTAAGTTATTAGTTTATCGGGGTGTTAAAAAAAAAAAAAAATTAAAAAATTAGTTCAAAAACAATATAGGTATAGTATTCATACACAAACATAATATTATTATTGCGTTGTATTCGTGTGTTGTTGCGTATTAATCCATTCATAAATCATAATACTATAATAATATATGTACTTATAGTTTAATATATTCTATAGCACACCCAAAATGTGGTTACTGTGATTTTTAATACCGTTGCAAAAAGTTGAGTACACTTTACGGTGATTTTAAATATACGTTCAATAAACAGTCATAAATCATAATAAATTTTAATCCCTAAATAGAAGAAAACTCAACAGATCCGTTATATTTGATGGACGTGCATCTTGAGAGTTGAGGATAATACAAATTATAAATCTAGCCATGTTTGTTTTTTACTCTTACCTACTGAATATCTTTAACTGTCCCGATCATGCACATTGATCAACTGATATTATATTCATGCTCATAACTAACGTTCAAAAATTAAAAACCCAACTAGATAACACAAACTATATTCTTGCCTTTGAGGCCCCCGCAAATTATATCATTTTTTCACTAAAACAACCTCAACGACTGACAAATAAAAGGTACTTCTAGTGATTTGATGTTAAGATTAACAACGAAAATGTGTTCTATTGAACTCAAATTTGCTACGTCGTATGTTTGTGAGACAACACTTGCCGTCTTCTTAACACTATCA